ACCTTGTACAAGAAATAATTTGGGGTGAGTTGTACAGTAAAATGAAAACAAGTTTATTAAGAAAGTAAGGGAATAAAAGAATGGCTACTCCATAGGCAGAGCAGTGGTATGGGCTGCTTGACTGAGGGTACTTACAGTTATTTTTTGATTAAATGCTAATCAAGGGGTGAATTATTTATGTGTTTTCCAGGAAAGAGATGGAAATTTCCTGGGAACTGAGGGTTCCTCCTTTCTGGACTATATAGGGTAACCTCCAGACATTGCCATGGCATTTGTAAACTGTCATGGAGCTGGTGGAGTATTTTTTAACATGCTAATGCATTCTAATTAGCATATAATGAGCAGTGAGAAAGACCAGAGTTCACTTTCATTGCCATCTTGGTTTTGGTGGGTTTTGGCTGGCTTCCTTAGGATGGCATTCTGTTTCATCAGCAGGATATTTGTGCTGGCTCCTATCTCATCCTGTGACTATGAATACCTAATGTTCTGGGAATGCAGTTCAGTAGGTCTCAGCCTTATTCTACCTGGCCCCTATTTAAGACGGAGTTGCTTTGGTTCAAATGCCTCTGACAATACTGTGCAATGTGTTAATATAAATTACAAAGTTGCTTTTAAACTTTGTTCATGTATGTGCTTTTATAGAATCCTCAGCCCAGTGTTTAAGATCTTATCTCTTTTATTTCTTGAAATATGTTGCAAAAGATACATAATAACATTTGTGTTCCCAAAGAAAGAAATATGTATAATTTTTGTGAGGGTATCAGCAACTTAGTATTGTGATGGTTAAATCTATAGAGTTAAGAATGATAGATGCCATCAGAGAGACAAAGATTTTAAAGCTTAACAGAGGTTTAAGATTTCCCTTCAAATCAAAAGTACCAAGGAGTACTATAAAATCATTCATCCTCTTTTTCAACTTTCAAACATCTATGTCAATACATCTTAGACCCTGTTGAAGGGGACAGCAGAGAGAACAAAGGATAGCTTAAATGCCTTATCTGCAATCATATAAAAAATCAGAAAGGATGTGGTAATTCATCATTATATAACATTTCCTCATAAGGATTTGGGATGTCTTGAGATCTATTTGAAAACTATTTTAATCCCCTGTGGGGAGGGGCTATCTTCTCTAAGAGTTAATGGGAAATATTCCAATATTGTTCCTTGATGCCTTTTTCTCTTTTTCTTTTTTTCTGATTTTATTTTATATTCTTTTCCACTTAAGTCTTTAGAAAACAAAGAAAAATATTTTTATATAAGTTCCCATATATGATAAACACATTTTATTAATAATATTGGAATGTTGAAAACTTAAAAATATACTCAAGATCTATGACATACTGTGCAGGAATGCATGAATTTCCTTACAGATATCAATCTTAATTTAAACCTCACCAAAGAAATTCAATTTTAATTTTACCGAGTATTGATCCCAAGTGAGGTTATTTCAGGCTCTTTGGAGGGGAGTTATCTGTTACAGCAATCACCAAGCCCAAGACCCAGAGAAGAAATTGAATCAGAGAAACTATTTGCAAATGGCCAAACAAATTGATAATTTTAAATGAAATGGACTCTAACACAGAGGAGGTATAAGCCCTATTCATTTTTTTCTGCTAATGACAGTGGTTTCTCCTCAACCAGACAATATAAGGCTGATTGTGTTGTTATGGCAAAGCCATTCAAAGGCTTGGGAAATGTGTTCTGGAAATGTTCCCTCATTCATTGGCTCTGGTACAGCACAAACACCCCTGTGTAGCCTGGTGCTTGCACAATTCTTTCAGAGTACCTATTCTCCTTAAGTAACTTCCCATTGGAGAGATTTTGAAGACTTCCAATCTGGCCAGACTAACATTTTCAGGGCTCAATAAAGACATAGCTCTCCCTGGAGCAATAGTGACAGTTGAGAGGTATTTGGGGAAGGAAATTGGAAAGCAGGTCACTGTTGCTGATTAGAGTCCTGAGCAGCCATGTCTGGCTTGGTTTAAGCACAGAAGTCTATAGATCTACTGTGACATTCCAAATAGCGGGAAGGATAAACCAACAAACAATTTACCCCTTATTTTGTTATGACTGCAGCCATTCTTCTTGTCTACTTTCAGCCAAAACTGAAAAATATAGCAATTTGATATAAAATATTTGAAGTTACATTATCATCTTTACCATTTTTTAAAAAATTAAAAATATTTTCTTGGCCCCTATGTATCCATTAATAGGACCATAAATTAAATTTCTTTTAATCGCCAGCAATAACTAAGAATTCTCAGTAATGTCTCATTTTCGCTGTTTGTAAGCCATTGTTAAATGATTACCCAATCTTATCAGTCTTGGAAAGAATAACAGTGTTACTTCCACTTCTGCTTAGAAAAAAAATTTTTAACTATATACAGAAAAGTCTTTGTATGTGTTTAAGATATGTATATGTGTATATTTTTTAAATAACAATAAAAACAAATATTGCATATCCTCTACCCAGCCTAAGAAATAAAACACTACAAATGCCTTTGAAGCCCTGAGTGTACTCATTCTGGACCCCAGCGCCTTTGCTCCTTGCCACTTAAGGTAACCATCAACTTGAATTATTTATTATTTCCTCACTAATCTTTATAGGCCTACTACAAAATTATGGAATTCCAAATAAAACATTATTTAATTTTACACTATATGTATTCTTTTTTGCCTTTTTTTTTTCAATTAGAGACGAAGTCTTATTATGTTACCCAGGCTAGTGTCAAACTCCTACACTCAAGCAATCCACCCACTTTGGCCTCCCAAAGTGCTGGAATTATAGCCATGAGCCATCATCATGCTACACCCAGCCATTGTGCTTTAAAAAAAAAAAAAAAAAAAAAGCTCAACATTATGATTAAGAGATTAGATTCTTTCACATTGATAATTATAGCTATAATTAACTCGCTTTTTAAAAATTTGATATGCATAATTTGAAAGAATACAAGAGCAGTTTTGTTACAAAGATATATTCTATAGTGATGAATCTGGGGTTTTAGTGTAACCACCACCCAAATAACATACACTGTACCCATAAGAAATTTCTCCTCTCGCCCTTCAACCTCTCATCCTTCCAAGTCTCCAGTGTCTGTTATTTCACACTCTGTATGTATATGTAGACATTATTTAGCTTCCACTTATGAGAACATGTGGTGTTTGCCTTTCTGAGTTGTTTCACTTAAGATAATGGCCTCCAGTTACATCTATGTTGCTGCAAAAGACAGAAGTTCATTCTTTTTCAGAGCTGAATAGTATTACATTTTATAAATATACCACATGTTCTTTATCCACATACCACATATTCTTTATCCTTTCATTCATTGATAGACACTTAGATTGATTCCAAATATTTGTGAATAACACTACAATAACTTAACAAGGGCTGGCACCTTTTTAGTATAATGATTTATTTTCTTTTGGGTAGATACTTATTAATGGGAATGATGGATCAAGTGTAGGTCTATTTTTAGTTTTTGATAACTCTCCATACTGTGTTCTATGGAGTTTGCACTAATTTACATTCCCACCAGCAGTGTATAAGCATTGCTTTTTCTCTGCATCCTTGCCAGCATCTGTTACTGTTTGACTTTTTACTAATAGCCATTCTAACTGGTGTAAGATAATATCTCAATGTGATTTTAATTTATAGCTCTCTGATTATTAGGGATGTGTAGCCTTTTTCATGTGCTTGTTGGCCACTTGAGTGTCTTCTTTTGAAAAATGTCTACTTATGTCCTTTGCCCACTTTTTAATGGTGTCATTTGAGGTTATTTTTGTTGAGTTATTGGAGTTCTTTGCATAGTTTGAATATCAGCCCTCTGTCAGATGTATAGTTTGCTGATATTTTCTCTCATTCTACATGTTTTCTGTCCACTCTGTTGATTATTTATTTTGCTGTGCAAAAGGATTTTAGTTTAATTAAGTCCTATTTGTCTATTTTCATTTTTGCTGTTTGTGCTTTTGAGGTCTTAGTCATGAATTCCCTGCCTGGACCAATGTCCAGAAGCATCCTCCCCAAGTTTTATTCTAATATTGTTATAGTTTCAGGTTATAGTTTCAGGTTTTACATTTAAGTCTTTAATTCATCTTCAGTTGACTTTTCTATGACGTGAGATAAAGGGGTACAGTTTCATTCTTCTGTATATGGCAGGGTTTCTCTTTATTGGGAGATCTTTTATTTCCAAATCCACCTCCTTACTGGTTATGGGTCTTGTTCAGGTTTTCTCTGCCCTCCTGTAACAATCTTGGATTTTATTTACCCGTTTCCTCTTGGTTTTCTAATATTAGTGTGTAGTTGATAATGATGGTCTCTGATGATCCTTTGTATTTCTGTGGTATATGTTGTAATAATTCTTTTCCCATTTCTGATTTTGCTTATTTGGATCTTCTCTTTTTTCTTGCTTAGTCTAGCTAGGAGTTTATTAATTTTGTTAATCTTTTCAAATAAATAACTTTTTATTGCATTGATCTTTTTGTGCTTCTTCATAGTGTCTATTTCATCTACTACTTCTTGACCTTTATTATTTCTTTATTTCTACAAATTCCAGGGTTTCATTTATTCTTACTTTTCTAGTTCCTTCAGTTTCCTTAGGTTATTTGAAATCTTTCCTTTTTTTTTTTTTTTTTTTTGGAGTAGGCATTTATTTTTGCAGTAAACTTCCTTCTTACCACTGCTTTGGCTATATCCCATAAGTTTTGATATGTTGTATTTACATTTTCATTGGTTTCAAGAATTTTTTTTTATCGTCTTAATTTCTTCATTGACACAGTGCTCATTCAGGAGCATGTTCTTTAATTTTCATGTATTTGTACAGTTTTTAAATTTCCTCTTGTTTTCAATTTCTAGTTTTATCCCATTGTGTTATGAGAAGATACTTGATATGACTTCAATCTTAAAAAATTTGTTGAAGCTTGTGTGTGGCCTAACATATGGTCTCTCCTGGAGAATGTCCCATGTGCTCGTAAGTATGCATATTCTGCAGCTGTTGAATGAAATGTTCTGTAAATGTCTGTTACATCCATTTAGCCTAACCTGCAGTCTAAATTCAATGTTTCTTTGTTAATTTTCTCTCTAGGTGATCTGCCCAATGCTGAGAGTGGGATGTTGATGTTTCCAACTATTATTGTAGATTTTTCCTCTTCAAAATTTGAGGGAGACTTTCATTTTAGGAAATTTTGTAGCTTGGATTGAAAGGATGTTTTTCATGAAAGAATCTGTTCTTGTTTCTATCAGGTCTTCTACTTTATTTGAGGTAATACTCCTAATCAAGTATTACCTCAAATAAAGTTTTATATGAAGTTGAATGTTCCCAGATTGAGAGTGCGAATTTGGGCCTTAAATTCATATGGGGACAGGATTTGAGTTACAAACTTTATTTGTATACCATTCAAGAGAGTATCCTTCTTACCTCCATTGGTGGTTGAATGTCTTCTTTTACTGAGGATACAGCTTTTTTGGTCCTGGTAGGGGAATAATCTTCTTTCAATTTCCCTAATTCATGTAGGCTGGGTTTACATTCTTTTCCCCAACCTCTGAAAATGGATCTTCAGAGTTATCATTAATTGATAATTGCCCCAGTATGGCCAGCTATTCCGTGCTTGCTGACCTTCTGAACTTCTGCTTATATTATGTTTTTAGCCTATGAATATTTTCCTTATTTTCTTGTCAGCACAATACACCATGGAATACTATGCAGCCATAAAAAGAATGAAATCATGTCCTTTGCAGGGACATGGATGGAGCTGGAGACCATTATCCTTAGCAAACTAACAAAGAAACAGAAAACCAAATACCACATTTTCTCACTAATAAGTGGGAGATAAATGATGAGAACACACAGACACATACAAGGGAACAATAGACACTGGGGCCTTTCAGAGAGTGAAGGGTGGGAGGAAGGAGAAGATCATAAAAAATAACTAATGAGTTCTAGGCTTAATATTTTGGTGATGAAATAATCTCTACAACTAACCTCCATGACACAAGTTTACCTATGTCAGAAACCTGAACATGCACACCTGAACTTAAAATAAAAGTTAAAAAACTTAATTTAGTATGTTTGCTAAGTTTTTCAGTGTTCTAATTATTTTGAACTGAAAGGTTTGTTGAGGATGTTAACAAACCAAGGTTAAAGATTTTTGGACCACTATATCATGACTTATCTTCTTTTCACACATAGTGTTTATAAGAAATAGAGTGAGAGATGCCCCTTGTGGAGTACTTATGGACCTCTGAAATAAAGTTAAAGTATATCATCAGAAATTAAAAACTCATATTTATTCAAATTGTTTATCTGAAAAACCTAATTAACTAATAGTAATGTAATTCATATTGTTGGTACCAAAAAAAAAAGACAAACTAGGTGTTTGATAGTTTGAGAGTCAACTGGATAGATTAATATTATACTGATTTCGATCAAAATATTTGAGGATCCAGTTATGAAGAATCTTTAAAAAATAATCATTTTCTGCGCTCAACACATCTAAAGATTATATTCAAAATGGCACAAGTACCAGTTGATTAAACATAAGAGAAATCAAATCAACCACCAAAAAACAGACAATATCCATGCTTGTGCATACCTGCAATATTTCTACACAGACAGGTAGAGGAGGTAAAGAGGGAAGGGTACTGTACATGAACCCACTTCTCCCCAACTTCTGAAAATGCATTTTAGTGGTGCACATGCGAATAAAGACAATAGAAGAAAAGTAAATGAACAGTGAGTTTACCTAAAGACTCTTTTCGACATCTTGTGTGAATCTGAAAAGCAGGTAAAAGACTGAGGACTTTTAGGTTTAAGATTCAAAACAATTAAAAGGCGACATTTAAATAAGAGTAGTAAGTTATACTGCTTACCAGAAACTAAAGCTGCTTTTTTTTCACTTGGGCCCCTATACTTTAACTTTATTTCAGAGGTCCATAAGTACTCCACAAGGGGCATCTCTCACTCTATTTCTTATAAAGACTATGTGTGAAAAGAAGATAAGTCATGTCAATAAAAAGAACAAAATAAACTATCTTCACGAAGTCGTTCAGCACATAAATATGTATTTTAATTTTTACTTTTTCATTTACTTTTGCTTAAAAATATTACCTTGGGTGATAAGGACAATTAGAACAGGTAATATTTTTAAGCAATTGCCTTGGGTGATTAGGACAATTGCTCAAAATGTTACCTTGAGTGATTAGGACAATTAATATTCTAATTCTAAAAGTCCCAAATCTCTTAATGTGTTACATCAAAAACCAAACAAGACTCATCTTACTGTGCTCTTAGATAGCCTCTAAAGAAACCAACCCCAACTCTTTCTAATCATCAACTAACTCACTGTTCACAATCAATTTACCTTTAATTTCCGTGAAACACCACCAAGATCGCTGTCAGGGATATGTACATCAGTCAGGCAGGCCTCATTGCTTCTTTGACCATTTCTACTAACAGGACAGAAGTTTGGGGAGTTGCTGCATTCCCACAGGAATCTGGCACGGTTCAATGAGGATTTTTCATAGTCGCGTACAGTCTAAGATATCACCAAACCTCATCATCACACTGAAAAGCCAACACTAGTTATAGACATGCTGCTGTACTGGAAACGGTAATATAAAGATTCAAGACAGAGCACAGGACAGTGATTAGTGGACTCAAATGCCACCTACAGGCTATACCTTTATTTAATTTTTTTATTAGGACAAAATTAAATGTGATATTTAAAGAGAGGTGGTGAGTTACGCTGCTACAAGAAACTAAAACTGATTCTTGTGTTCAGGCCATTTGGTAATTTAATGTTACTTTAGCAACCCATAAGTATTCTACAGTGAGTACAATATAAAATGTAACAAAGCTCTAGTATTGTAGTGAGACTATAATCTGGTATATTTAAAAGATGACAAAAGTATTGATATATAAATATATTGACATTAATACTATTTTCTTTTTGTACTTTTTAACCTGCTTAGATCATTAACCTTTGCTGGCTAATAAAAAGTATCTCATTACAGGTACAGTTTATGTCTACACAGTAATCAGTGAGGCACTTAGATGGTATTACAAATAATTTATCTGTATAGCAATTATCCAAAATCATCAAATATTCAATAAGTACCTACCCTGAAATGGGCACTGTGATAATCAAAAAATCTTTTTGGAGATTTGTATTATGCAGTTTGCCTATCTACCTTAACTGAAATTAATTGCATTATAAAATTTACCTGCCTTAATTGAAATTAAATGATTAAAATTAAATAACCAAGCAAATATTTGTTAAGCTTCTGCTATGTCTCCAACACTGAGCTAGTCAGAGGTGATACAAGGAAATGAAAAGTTCTTGTTTCTGTCATCAGATTGTTAACAATGCAGTTAGGGAGAGGAGATCTATACAGATCCAAACACAAAAGAGAGTTCCAGGGAACAAGTGTCATAAAAATTGAGAAACACAAGAGATTATAGAATCACTAGGCTTTTAATTGAACCTAAAACTGATGAATTTAATTAGAGGGAAAAATAGAAAAAGAGATGCGGCAGCACAAAACATGAGGTATATGTGCTCAAGAAACATTCATGGCCAAAACCATATTTCTTCAGCATCTGTTCTATTAAAGATCTTCTACAAACTCTTTTACTTAGCACAATAATTATTTGAGGTGACTGCTGACATTATTCCTGTCTTATAGATGAGGAAATTGAGACTCAGAGAAGCTGAATAACTTAACTAGAGCCTTTCAACTGGTAAGTAGTAAAATCAGAATTCAAACCCAATACTTTATCATTCCAAATTGGGTGTTCTGAATCACTATACCTGCAATAAATAAACAATCTGTCTTTAAAGGGAAGAGTGTATGGCATGAGATAAATTTGGGAGGTATAACAGCCAGACAACAGATGGCACATTGAAATTGGGTTATTCGAGTTGAGTTTTGATACAGGGAATATTTACAAAGGTATGTGCAGGGTGTAGGAAAGCCACAAGAATATGGCAGTATTCCAGTGCCAGCAAAAACCATTTCCACCCCTCAGCCTGAAGGATGGAGTGGGGAGTGGAAATTTATATATAAAATAAATATATATAAAATAAATTTATATATAAAATAAATATATGTGAATGCATACTGATATAAATGCTTGAATAATTAAATAAACAGGGGACATAGGCAAGTGTTTCTCTCCTTTCCCAGAAGTAGAGAGTCTTGTGGAGCGGGTTGCCTAACAAGATGCATGACTTTTAGTAGACAAGAGGAAGCTGGGTAAATAAATTCCCTGACCTGACCCTCTTCCTTTGTTTCTATTGTCCACTGGAGGTCCCATTGATGTAGTTTATGCAAATTAGTCACCCAGGGCCAAAGAATAACTGAAAAAGAGTGGAGAATGGATCTAGAGAAGCAAATACAAGACAGACACCACTAGGAGGTTCTAGGAGGGTCTTGAGAGTCAGGATAACTAATTTGGATTTTATTCTATTGGGAATGAAGGACCAATAAACTTTTGGGTGTGAGGGAATTGTATATGGAAGAACTGCTTCAGAGAAACTAAAATTTTCATTAACATAGATAGAATAAAAAGGCGGGCAGCAAAAACACTTTCGGAAAAAAAATTTTTAGAAAGCTCTGATAGTGACTTTATGAGCCTAATAGTGAATAGTCTAGCAGAACAGAAAAAAAGAGGCTTAATGAACTGTCTATAATATTATGAAGAAATAAACTTGACTTTCAATCAGATAGCATGGTCCATTGATAAAATAATTTAGCTCTCCCTTCTGCTTTCTATTTTGCACATTTGGGAATTTATTTTAATGGCTTAACATTTATGCCTTTCAGTCCATCATCAAATCCCTTATGCAACTCTCTGGTAACATAAGCTGAGCGGTTAAGACAATAGCTCTCAGGACTGATGATCCCATTTTGGATATTAAGAGGGAAGCGGGAGAGAAATGAGAAGATAACATACACTGAAATCTTATGGCATGCTGTTTAATGTGCTCAGCACTTTTACATTTAAATTTCCCAATACACCTGGGAGACAGGTATCAATTTCATTTCACAGAAAAAAAAAACTTATTCAAGTTCACTAAGTAGCTCAGAGAGCAATAATCATTAGAAGTAATAATAATGAGCTAAGTTACATAAAAGACTTTATGTGAATGTTAATGGAATCTGAGTATGCATCTTTGTTTTGTATTATTTTGAGACCCTGTAACCCTAATCAAAATATCCTCAGTATCACAATATATTGCACTGTTTAAAATAAAACTAATTTTTCAAAACATATTAAATTGATTGTTAAAATAATTAAGTGAGATGATTTTTAAAAAGAGGTCTAGGAGGTAAAATGACTTTCCTGAAAATGGAGAATGTTAGAGACAATATCAGACTGCATCCTACATGATTCTTCTTTTGAACTCACAATATATTACAATCTTTTGGTTTAACATTATATCAATATGTGAATTTTATATGCAATGAAATCTTTAAAAGCCCCCAAACCAATGCTATGGTGAATGCCTATAAAAGCAGCTTAGTTTCTAGATACAACCAAAAACAAGAGGCTAATGGTAAAATTTGAAGTTGTGAGAGAAAGTGAAAGGTATATTCCAGGACTATAGTTTTTATTAGTTTCCACATCTCTAATTCTACCAAAGTGAAGAGGTTGCTGGAATGGCAAATTAGAGAATAAGAAAAAGAGTGGGCTCACACCAAGAATTCTGAGTGCTATTCATTTTAAGTTTTATCTATTCAAAAGAGTAACCTTGCTAAGAGGTGAAGTGAAAAGAATGATACTGGAATAAAACATCCAAGTGACGTTTTCAGCTCAAGTTCAGCAAAATTCAGAGATTTTTATTTGTAGATATAGAAACATCATAATCTGAAGAGATCGATACTTGTTCAGGGGAATCTAAAAATTAGAAGTTTTTAACTTTTCTGTGTATATGATAAGTAAGTTTTTCCTTTAATTGAGAGATATTACCATCAATGGCATGTTTTCTTCAACTTCAGAGATTACCCATGCAGTTATTTTGAAATGAGATGAACATTAGAAACTAGCCCCTCAAAGTAAAATACTATGCACCTACCTCTATTCTAGCTGCTAGGGAGTATCAATTTTTTTTTACTTTTACATTCAAGGATTCAGGACACTCAGTTCTAAGTTCAGGACATGCAGAAATAGTCAAATAAAATGTTATTCTTAGTAATCCAACAGTAGCTATAAGATGCCACCCAGACAGAAAAACTTCTAGCCCACACAACTAGAGAATGCCATGGCTAAGTGACAAACAATCTTAAAGAGATATGGTCAGGCAAGCTAATTAATATTAATTGTGAGAATTAATATTAACTATCAGTCAATAGCTTTGCTTTTCAGAGAAGTACCAGAAGACAAAGGGACATTTTCCAACACCAGAAAAGGAAAGACGTTCTCTAGGCTTTTCAAATAATTTCAATCTCGGGTTTACGTTCTTGAAATTTCCCAGGTAATCTCTGTGTGTCTCTATAGAGACAGACTCGTAGACACAGAACTACATGCTCAGCCTCATCAAGAAATCTGAGGCCCAAAGTAACTGGAGGGCTGCCTAATGGCAAAAAATGAGGTATCAGTAGACAATGGACATGTCAGGGATAACCAGAATAGGCCCAGTATGTATACATTATTAAACATGTGATAGGATTTTTTAAAAGGTATTTGTTGTGTTGGATTACAACTCAAGGTATAAAATAAATATATATGAGTATATACTGACATAAACGTTTGAATAAATAAACAGGGGAGATAGGCAAGTCTTTCTCAAGGAGAATTCTAAATGATATATATGAATGCTCTAGCTCAAAAGTGATACGAACTTGCTCAAAAGTGATATAATTTGTCTCTAAGGAATAGATTGGCAGAAGAGAAGGGGAGAAATAGTAGCTTTATACTAGAAAAGCTTATTAAACAGTACCTTAACCAAGGGAAGAAAGTGACCATCACTATTGTCCTCATGTGGCTATCATGTACCCCCTGATTAGATGTGATGAGAAGGACACTTTATCTCTGTGGTTTCTTTCCAAAAACCAGTAAGACCGGCCTAATTACTAGAAAACATGAGAAAATCCCATAATGGGGGACATTCTACAGAACATTAGCCAGTATTCTTCAAAATTGTCAAGGTCATAAAAATCAAGGAAAGACTGAGAAGATGTCACAGGCTAAAGGACACTGAGGACACATGACAACTAACTACAATGTGGCCACCAAGGTTGGATCCTGGGAAACAAATAAGACATCAATGGTAAAGCAAATGAAATTCAAACATATTCTAGAGTTTATTTAATATACAAATGTACCCATGTCAGGTTCTTTGACAAATGTATAATGGCAATATAAGTTGCTAACAGTGGGAGGAACAAAGAGCTATTCCAAAACACTCTGTAAGATTATTTTTGTAAGACTTATGAAAATCAAAAATTACTCCAAAATAAAAACTTTATTAAGAAAGTCAAATTATGGCTAAGAACCAAAACCAACATAAATACAAAAATAAGATTGCTGCCATGACTCTCTAATATTATAGTAATAGAAGTGGTGAGATTCTGGAATGCTCAAAGTGTGTTGTAGTACTTGAACGTGACGCAGATGGATGTGATTGTTATAATGAGCAGCAAGGATTGAATAGCAATCAGATTACCTTGACAAACAGTGTTCTGTGATAGTATCTAACAGATCATACCACTGCTAGGGGCAAAAACGAGGCTAGCAGAGGTATTGCACAAAAACCAAGCTAGCAGAAGTATTGCTTAAACTTGCATCAATTAAAAAATACAAACCTGTTGGGCAATAAACTGATGTCAAACACCACAGGAGGGGAAAAAACTCTTCACTCAGTTTTCAGAATACTGTCAGTTTATGTACCTGAACCCTTTTGCTAAAGGGGACACTGTGTCTCCTTGAGGAGGGACACTACAAAACCACCAGACATATATACAATAAATACTAATATATTCTTATTTAAAAAAGAAAAAAACTTGCAGCTATTTACTAAGGAACTGTGCACTGAGCAAAAAGACAAACTAATACTTTTGATGACTCTTAAATACAGGACTGAGTTAGCACTGGGACCAAAGCACTCAAAATGTCATCATGTTTCCTTACATCATGTATTAGGTTTATAGCAGCTGGGTAATAAATGGAGTTTTTGATCAATTTTGTCTCACAATTGGTCCAACAGGTCTAAGGGCTCACTTTGTAATCATATACTAGTCCCAACATGTCTAATTAGAATAAATGCTCTATTCTAATTAGAATAAATACTTCTAGAAAATTGAAAACATACTTTAACAGCACTATAGCAGTACTTTGAAGAAAATTTATAGCAGAAATCTCTACATTAGAAAAGAAACAATTTTTTAAATCAATGAGCTAGACTTCTATGTTAAGCAACTAGGAAAATAAGAGCAAATACTCCAAAAATATGCAGAATAAAATACAATTACAAACAAGAATAGACAGCAATGAAATAGAAAACACAAACAATTGAGAAAAATATATGAAGCAAATGCTGATTCTTTAAGAAGATAAGTAAAATTGATAAACTTCTAGCCAGACTTATCAGAAAAAAAGGGGAGGAAAAATATTGCCAATGTTAGGATGAGATACATGATATCACTACAGATTATAAACCTTTATATCTCTTAAAGAAATTAAATTTGAGGTAACTATCTTGAAAACAAAAACAAGTAAAAATGTTTTCATCACTGAATGCAACAAAACATTTGTAGAAAATTAATACTAATTCTATACAAACTCTACCAGAAAATTGAATAGGGTAATTGCTTTTCAACTCATTCCATGAAGCCAGCATTGCTATGAAACCAGAAAATAATATTAAAACTATAGACCAATATTTCACATAAACATAAATTCGAAAGTCTTAACAAAATTATATAAATTGATTTCAACATTGTGTAAAAACATACTACAACATTAAAGTGTGAAGTTTATGCTTGGAATGTAAAGTTGGTTTAACATTCAATAATGAATGTAATTCACCATATTCACATACTGAATTTTAAAAGATCATATAATACAATCTTCTCAAATATGTTTAAAAATCATTTGACAAAATCCAACATATAATCCTGACTTTAAATTTTTTTCAGCAAATTAAGAGTATAAAGGACCTATCTCTACTGACAAAGAGCATCTGTGGAAAAATCACAGTTGATATCATTCTAATAGTAAAATATTGGCTCCTATCCCACTAAGGTTAGAAACAAAGTAAGGATATACTCGCTCAACACTTCTATTCAGCATTGGACAGGAGGCTGCAGCCAGTGTAACAAAGGAATAAAAAGAAATAAATGGCATTAGAACTGGAAAAGCGGTAAAACTGTCTTTATTTTCATGAGATATAATCATCTAAATAGAAAGGCCTATAAAACTGACAAAAAGTAGAATTAAAAAGAGAATTTAGCAATGTTGGTTAAATTGACATAATATTATATCAATATACAAGATGAATATACAAACCCGATAATATTTATATATTCTAACAATGAACAGTCAGAAATTTTAATTACAAAAGCAATACAATTTATAATAGAATTGAAAATATGTAATATTTAAGCTTCAATCTGACAAAATATTTACATCCTGAAAACTACAAATTGTTGCTGAAAGAAATTTAAAAACATGTAAATAAGTGGATATTTATGGTGTGTTCATGGATCACAATACTAAATATAAAGTTGTCACTATTTATCACATTATTTCCAAATGTAAATTCAACAGAAGTCCAGTAAAAAGTCTCAGCAGATTTTTTTGGTCAAAATTGACAAGCCCATCCTAAAATTCATATGGAAATGCAAAAGGCTGGAAATAGTCAAACAACTTTGAAAAGAGGTAATAAAATTGGATTTCTTATAATATCTGATTTTGAACTTAATATATAGTCATAGTAACACTAATCAACATGATTTGATATTGATATAAAGATAAATAGATCAATAGAATAGAACAGAGCAGAGTTTAGAAATAACCCTGCATATGCATAGTCAATTCATATCTGACAAGGGTTCAAAGGAAATTCATCAGCGAAAGAGAGACTTTTATGGTGTTGGAGTAATTAAATAACTACATAAAGTGCAAGCTACCCAAGTTTCTGAAGCACAGTGATGCTCTGTTTACTGGAGAACAACTCTGGAACACATCTGGGACTTAGTATATTCTTAGCACATGGCCATAATGCATGAAGTAACTGTCATCTGAGGTGCCTGTTATGACAGTCCTATTGAGTCGTAATGTCAGGGGGTTGAACAAGCAATCTATTTTATTATGGAAAGAGTGCATTCATATCCAGCCTTGAACAGGTCTCTGAATTTAAGGAATCCAGCTTTTTTATAAAAGGAATTAAGCATATCTTTTGTTTGTTCTGGAGATAGATGTTCTCTCTTTCTTCCAAGGCTGTTTGCTGTACAAATGTGATGTCCAATAACAAAAAGATGTCCAGAACAAAGTAACACAATGCCTCTGCCTACAAGATGAGCAGAAATGCAAGAGACCCATGGAGAATTCTCTCTCAACCCCTAGCTATGGGGGTGGAGAAATTCTGAAGGAGTCACAGATTATTTAAAAAAAAAAAAAAAAAAAAAAAAAAAAACTTTATAAATGAAGCTATCTTACAACTGTGCCTGTCAAATATGTTTTTTTTATTTTCCTCAACCCCCATAACTCCTGCACCAAAAACACCAGAACCATAAGAAATCAGTAGCAGAAGTTAGAGAGAGATTGATGGAGGACATTCATGGGAGAGAGAGAGAATAAACTGACATGATTCCGCCAGATTTTTCTAGCTTATTCCACAGCAGATTTAGGTGGAGCCAGGAATCATGACATCTAACCTCTGAATGAATATTGAAGTATTGACTATTAGATGAAATTGGGTATTCTGAATCTAGACTGATCTTTTTATCTTAAAACCAAAATTCCTGGAATTTCCTACATTTCCATCCAATGGATAAAATAATCACTCTGAGCAAATTAAAAGGCTATGAGAGGAAAAAAAGTTTGTTTCACACTTGGATATTACTAGCAAGTCTGATATCTAACTTGTGCATAGAAAAATGTTTGTAAAAGTAATTCCTCTAGGAAATTGAAACTTTACTATCTCACCTTGTAAGTTTCAGCAATGTTTGATTTTTTAAATAACATTTTGCTAATTTGAAAAATAAATTATTATAAATTGAATATAATGAAATAAAATTGAAGATATAGAAATTTGGGAGCCCACATGGATTTGGGATTTAAGTAACACCATTTAAAAAAATCACTTTCTTTCTTTAAGTATTACTTTCTTATATTAAAAGGCACTTAAATAGAGCCAGGGACCTTGCTCAGCCATACTCAAGATGCTAAGATATATCCAGCACACCTATCAGTTGCCAACGAACAGAGTCTGAGACTATGAGATCAAAATTAGCTTCATTATGATAGCACTTTGGAGAAACATTACATTCTGGGCAAAAGGCAACTAAGGACCAGAACTCCTTTATCAATTGGAAAGCAATGACGCAGAATGCAGAGAATTCAGAATCACTACACGGGAAATAGAGAAGACAAACTAAGTCAGTAGAACAAGACTTCATTCTGCTTGTAGCAGTCAGAATTACCTTCTCTCTGAGAAAAAGTATAGGCTCTTAAATAAATGTCTATAGGAATCCGTTTATCCTGCAGACTGTTTTAAATGTAGTACTAGTTGTCAATGCTACATAATATTATTCAATGTGATATCCTGAATTAAACTGAAAATTAATGCAGTAGCACATATGTTTTGGATATACAGAGTCAATCAGAAGTAGTGTATTTAAAATATTAGTAAAAGAATTATCACTACAAACCAGCTTTAGAAGGATGCAACTGGACATTTTCTCATCCTCTTCAAAGAAATTCATAAGAATTATCTTGGCTTGTTGTACTAAATGTCAAATCTCTAGATGCTTTCATATACAATTTTATTAAAAGTCTGGCAAAATGTTTTCTTTGCAAATGAGACACAGCTGTTAAATGTCTAATCTAAATGAGTGTTTCACAAATACTAGAACTTCTGAAATCTTACATCAAATCAATGCCAACTGTGCTCACCAAGTCAGGTTTTAACAAGTATAATTTCAATAAAGATAATCTGCTCATTTCCTTACATGATTAGGAAGGAACTGGATAACACTGATTTACAACATTTTCCTTCACCATATAGCCCAGAAACAGAGACTTTTTTTTTTTGAGACAGAGTCCCACTCCATCACCAGGCGCCAGGCTGGAGTGCAGTGGCTCAACCTCGGCTCACTGCAATCTCCGCCTCCTAGGTTCAAGCAATTCTCCTGCCTCAGCCTCCCGAGTAGCTGGGACTACAGGCGCATGCCACCACGCCCAGCTAATTTTTTTGTATTTTTAGTAGAGACGGGGGTTTCACCACGTTGGCCAGGATGGTCTCTATCTCTTGACCTCATGATCCGCCCGCCTTGGCCTCCCAAAGTGCTGGAATTACAGGCGTGAGCCACCGCGCCCAGCCAACAGAGAGATTTTTTTTAAGGAGTTTGGGATAATTTAAATTTAGTTGGATATTTGAGCACATAAAATAATCAATGACCTGAAAACTTTGATAAAATACATGTTAAGAGAAAAACAAGAATGTATCATTGACCTTTTATCAAAGATTAGAATATGTGTATTTTGTGGGAATGATAAGTTGGTGAGAGTCACTTTGTTAGAAAAGTTATTGAATTTCTTATTACAAGAATTCCCAGTATTTATATATCTTGTCATGAGAAGACTGGAAGCTGCTCTCCTAGGAGGCAACTTATTTTCTGAATCTAGAGATGGAAGTATTCTCTGGATGCAGCAAATCTGGTATACTGAAGTTTAAAAAAAAAGGTACAGATCCAAAATCGTGCCAGAGAGATATGATTTGAAAAAGACAGGAAGGGGTCAAGAAGGGTCCCCAGATCATCAAAGACAGCTGTGAAAGCTCAGGCACAGTGATAAGCAGCTGAGCTGAAGCTTCTGAGAGCAAAGGAACAAATGACGTCTGCTGCGAGTTCTGAACAATTGTTAGACTTAGTCCATGGAGTTCACTCTGAAAATCTGTTGTGATGAAGTATGGTGCTTTCTTTACAACAGGCGTGGGTATGGCAGGTGGCTTCGAGAGGAGTTACACATATTTACCAAATGCTTAAAGAGAATTCTTGGTCTGTTTGTCCAGGGATCAGAGAAAAGAAGGAGCCCTCCAGTTGTTTTCACAACCTGGCACAGATTAGGTTTGAAAGAGCGTGTAACTAGATACTAATAGAGTTCTATTCCGAACACAAAACTGACATTTCACATAAAATACGTGTAGGATCTGATAAGGCATTTTAATTAACATAGCTTTTTAGGCCAGGTTTTCATTCTTTTTATTCTGAAGATAAATGGACATTTATTTCTAACATGCACTGATTATATGCAAATACAAGTGAGTCATGGTCCATTGCTAAAAAGTATAATTTCTGGATGCAGTGCATGCTAATTATAGCACTTATTGAAAATCACTATTTTGACGACTATAATTTTGCCACCACCTTTCCAAATCCTAAATTGAATAGTATCTTGCAGCACATGTATTTTAAGTAAAGTGTACTATACTGCAGCTGTTTAGAAGGTCCAAGGCTGAGTCCTCTTTTATGAGCAATTTTGATTGTTCAAACAAATAAATTAAATCATAGTGAAGAACACCATATATTTTCAAAATATTCTGCTTAATGATGTTACTTATCAACAATTGTTTATTTTTAAGATTAATAGCATGGTGTATACAATAATTTTAACAACAAACCTCTGTAAGATGATACCCAACTTATATTTATCGACGGAAAACTGCATACCAGACATTGTAACAACCAGTTTACCACGCATTCCATCCATTTTTACATCTATCAAACTATCAATCTATCAGACCAAACTGCATAATTCAGTTCTAAATTCTACTCTATTCCACTAACATTTTATAAGCAATTTGGAAAGAATCAAAAATATACATGACAGAAAATAATCTTTTCTGTGTAAGTTAATCAACATCCTATATAATTCATTTTAAAAGGTCAAGATGGCAGACTAGAAGCAGCTTGTGTGCTGCTCTCACAGAGAGGAAACAAAAGGGCTAGTGAACACAGATTCTGAAGGCTGATCATCTGAGAAACTACATTGAGACTCATCAGGCAGCAGGGGTGATACAGCGAGCAGAGAGGAGCAAACTTGGGTACCAGCCTGTATAGGCTCGTGTGGAGCCAGGAGAACCTCTCCAACATGGGAAAGGTGAAAGAGTTGGAGCCCTCCGGGATATTCACATTCTCCAAAGGGAACTGTGAAAGACTAGGAATGGGAGAATCTCCCTGTCCCCCTACACTCCTCACTGCACTATTATACAGGCACAGAGCCACCTGGATGCTTTGCCAGAGCAACTTTCAAGTCCAAGGGAACCTCTACAAGCTTTGGGTCTTGGAACAAACCAACATGGGCACAATAGCCCCAGCAGAGGCCACAGTCATGGTGCCTAGGAGCAATAAGATTGCTCCACCCCCCATCACCAGACAAAGTTCAGTGCCAGCTCTGGCCCAGCAAACCCACTTCTCTCTGAACTCAGCCAATGACCACAGTCTCCTGTTGTCCCAGGCAAAGAAACAGACAGCATGGTCAGCAACCCCAAACACCCCCACCAATGGTAGGCAAGTGGGAAATACCTGCTGAAGACTCCAGCCCAGAAGTCCCACTTCTCTATGAACCCAGTGAAAGGGTACGGCCTCCTATTGTCCTGGAAAACACATGAATGGCAGGGTAAGGAACTCCACCCACCCCCACCTGTCATAGCCAGGCAAGCCATACCTGCTAGAGCTTCCAGCCCAACAGTTTGTACTTCTGCCTGAACTTTGCAGGCAGATACAACCCCATGTTCCCCTAGGAAGCACCTGGACAGCAGATTATGTGCTGTGATAACTGGCTAGCCATATACAGAAGATTGAAACTGGAGTCCATCCTTATACCATAGGCAAACATTAACTCAAGACAGATTAAAGACTTACATGTAAAACCTAAAACTATAAAAACACTGGAAAATAACCTAGGAAATGCCATGCCGGACATACGACCTGGAGAGGCTTCAAGATCAAGATGCCAAAAGCAATTACAACGAAAACAAAAGTTGACTGATGGGACCTAATTAAACTAAAGAGTTTCTGTACAGCAAAAGAAACTATCAATAATGTAAATACATAACCCACAGAATGGGAGAAAATATTTGCAAACTATGCATCTGACAAAAACCAAATATCCAGAATCTATAAGAAATGTAAACAAATTGACAAGCAAACAACAAATAACCCCATTACAAAGTGGGCAAAGGACATGAACAGACACTTTTCAAAAGAAGACATACAGGCAGCCAACAAGTATGTGAAAAAATGCTCAACATCACTAATCATTAGTCAAATGCAAATCAAAACCTCAGTGAGATACCACCTCTCACCAGTCAAAATAGCTATTATTAAAAAGTC